CTCTACTGAAAGTGAAAAGGACCATGAATACAGGCAAAAAGAAACAACCCCAGATACCATGATGCCATCTGTAATGGTACAATATTTGGATCTACCAGTCACCACAAAACCTCTTTCATTAGGACAAAATCCTGTGGTAGCTTTGGGTCCCTCATGTAGCCCTCATCCGTCAGTTCAGGTCCCAACTGTCTCAGTGCCTAGCAGCACCCAAGTATCAGAGGCACTTGAAACAACCGCCAAGTTGTCAGTGACCATACCAATGTCTGAGGCACCCAAGAAAATTGAGGAAATACCTCAGAGGATGACCCGGAAAAAGGCTCAGATGCTGGCCAATCAGAACAAGCAGAGTGCTGCGCTAAGCTCATCAAGCATCACCTGTTCGGTATCCTCCTCATCAGTCACCACAAGTGTGACCACCTCTTGTGTCACTGTAGAAAAGGAGAAAGAGCCCATCAGCTCCACCACAGCTCAAACATCTACTCCTGCCCCTGCACTAATCACCAAAACAAAAGGCAGGCCTGTTGAGGATGACGACAACCAGTCCCAACATCCACGCAAGAGGAAGTTTCCAAAATCAGGCCAGCAACAGGTGCAGGTTCAGCTAGTGAACACAGCAATGAAGCAGACTCGGGAGATGATTCAGCAGACACTGGCAGTCATTGTGAATGCCATCAAATTGGATGAAATAGAGCCATACCACAGTGACCGTTCCAACCCTTATTTTGAGTACCTTCAGATCCGCAAGAAAATTGAGGAAAAGCGGAAGATTTTGTGTTACATAACACCTCAAGCTCCCCAGTGTTACGCAGAGTATGTGACGTACACAGGATCCTATTTACTTGATGGCAAGCCTTTGAGCAAGCTTCATATTCCTGTGGTAAGATTTTTGTGTGCACTTGTACTCGATGCATAAAGACTCTTAACACTGTTATGTCCTAACCAAGAGTTTAATTATACTGACAAGTAATTTTCTGTCCATGCAGAAAGCAAAAATGGTGTGCAACACTGCACAGTCACAATCAGAACATATTTGATGTTTAATGTATTATATGGAGCAAGATTTTGGACCGTTCTTGGTTAGGACACAGTATATTATCCATGTTAATGTTTCCATTGTTGAGCTATAGGGATGTCTTGCTAAACATTAGTCATTCAGATTCAGTTTTCCAGAATGACAAGACATGACAAGTTTCTCTACTTTCTTAGATTGCTCCACCCCCATCATTGTCGGAGCCTCTGAAGGAGCTGTTCAGACAACAAGAGGCAGTGAGAGGAAAACTAAGACTGCAGCACAGCATCGAGAGGGTAAACTCTTACTCTTTGGCTTTAGGCTTTCCCTCTGTCTGTTTTCTCCCCTCTACGCATCACTGAGCTCATTTCAGAAGTCACCCCGTTAGGATGCAATGATCACACGGCACAAATCCTTTGATGAATCATCAAAGGCTCTGTGTAATAGAATAGCAACTTATCTGCAATATACATTTCAACTAAGTAAGCATATTGCAGTACGATCAGGCTCCCCATTTGATTTTCTTCTGATGTTCTTTCTGTGACTTGCAGACCTTGATCATTTCAACACTGTTTACCAGCTTTGTCCCTTGGTTATTAGATGAATGCTCATAAGGTATGGGATGTCCAGTCTGACTCTGATTTAATGTCCCCTTACAGGAGAAGCTGATTGTATCTTGTGAGCAGGAAGTGCTTCGTGTTCATTGCAGAGCAGCAAGAACGATCGCAAATCAGGCCGTTCCCTTCAGTGCTTGTACAATGCTGCTGGACTCAGAAGTCTACAACATGCCATCAGAAAGCCAGGTGAGTACTCATTTTAACGATTAGTGTTAACACACCAAAGATGTTAAAAGCCTTTCAGCATAGATTTTCTTACATCTGTAACAAAATCGTGTTCTTTAGGGGGATGAAAACAAGTCTGTGAGAGATCGCTTCAATGCTCGGCAGTTTATCTCTTGGATTCAAGATGTGGATGATAAGTACGACCGCATGAAGGTGAGGAGCTTCCTTATGCATCACTCATATATAGACCCACATGTGTTAAAGGGTTAGTTCACCCCAAAATGAAAATTCTGTCATTAAAACAACGGCTCTGTGTAGTTAATGCTGCTCAATGTGAAAGCACGCAGGTGATGGAGATTTACCGCTGATTACAGAACCGGCTTTACTGATAAGATGCGTGTTAAATATCGCATGCGATTAATCGTGCAGCCCTATTAATTACTCATCCTCATGTCGTTCCAAACTCGCAAGACCTTCGTTCATCTTCGGAACACAAATTAAGATATTTTTGATGAAATGTGAGAGCTCTCAGACCCTGCATAGACAGCAACGCAACTGTAATGTTCCCAGGTCCAGAAACATAGTAAGGACATCGGTAAAACAGTCCATGTGACTTCAGTTTTGCGAAGCTACGAGAATACTTTTCTGGACCTGGGAACATTTCAGTTGCATTGCTGTCTATGCAGGGTCTGAGAGCTCTCACATTCCATCAAAAATATCTTAATTTGTGTTCCGAAGATGAACGAAGGTCTTACGGGTTTGGAGCGACATGAGGGTGAGTAATTAATGACAGAATTTTCATTTTGGGGTGAACTAACCCTTTAAATGTTCCATGTTTTAAATGGACTTACACTTTTATTGATAGAACTCTTGAATTTAGCATTATAAAATTTGAAAAAATATTTAACAAAGACGCAGTGATATGTGGAGCTTTCTGAATGGTGGTCAGTCACATTATGTGTAAATCTGCAGAGCTTCCATGTCAATAATACATTATATTTTTATTAGGGCTGTCAGTTTAACGCGTTAACTTAATTAGTCATGAAAAAAATTACGCAATTAAAATATTTTAACGCACTGGCCCCACCTCAAACCTGTAAGTCCATAAAGTTGACTGTTGACAAATATGATTCAGGGCAATAACCCCATAAATGCAGTTATGCTCCTAAAATTCAAGATATGTGCCAAAAAATACCCCTGTATGAGTTTTTGTCTCATGTTTATATCATATGATCACACTAGCAATATCACACGAGTGCTGTTTTGTCACGAATATCATGACAAATTATCAGTGAAAGTTTAAATGTGATTTTATACAACAGTTCAGTAAATAAGTAGTTAATATTGTGTTTTTTTAAACACAATATTGTCTGTTTTGCTCAATTTTGCAGAGAAAATATTACCTTTAAAGCTGCTGCAGAACTGTTATGTGCCTGTGAGCAACACGTCAGTGTTTAGTTTCTGAATGAATCTGCATTTTGAACGAATCCAGTGGTTCAATGAATAGCCTAATCATAAACTAAGCCGTTTACTGTATTCCTGAATGAATCAGCAGTTTGAACGAATGAATGGATGAATGAATGAATGACATATAAAGACATTTACCGCCACCTGCTGGCAGTTTAAGTTTCTTATTTAGAACATCATTTCATTAAAAAAAAAGAAAAAAGACTGAAAAAGAAGACTGTTGGTTTCGGACTTTCACTGTATAAAGCTCTAAAGCTACTGTTTGTAATGTCTACTTGATACTTTCTCATTTAACACAATAATGGTTTTAAATAATCTTCTGTGGATAATTTCACTGCCAAATTTAATTTGCGATTAATTAGATTAATTAATTGACACATCTTGTAATTAATTAGATTAAAAATTTTAATCGACTGACAGCCCTAATTTTTTTTTTTTTTTAAGCCTCAAATGTGCAAATATTTTCCAAAGTCTAATTCTAATCTTCATCTTCTGACAGACGTGTTTGCTAATGCGGCAGCAGCATGAGGCCGCCGCTCTGAATGCAGTGCAGAGAATGGAGTGGCAACTCAAGGTACAGGAGCTGGACCCTGCTGGACACAAGTCTCTGTGTGTGAACGAGGTCCCCTCCTTCTATGTGCCAATGGTCGACGTCAACGACGACTTTGTACTGTTGCCTGCGTGACACCGACACACATTCAGACTCTTGAGAGTTCGGTCTAATATTAATCATCTATCAAAGAGACATCAAACAAAGTTCGGTAAGGGCTAGCCGGTTTGAGGAGATTTCTTTGAGGAGAGAAAATATATATTATATAGAAAATGTAAATGACAAAACTCATCCTTTTCTGCCCGAGGAGGAACCGTCTTTTTACGGGAGAAAAAACACAACTTGCACTTTTATCCTCAAGTTTTTATGTTTTTTTTGGGATTTAAAAAGCAAAACTGCTTTGAACCTTGTCCCTCCTGTCTTGGGTTATTTGGGTGAACATATGGAACAGAATTTTTCTCTGTCCCATCCCATGCTAAGTTACAACAAACGAGGAGCTTGAGACAGGTTCGTCCACCTGTGTGCTCCAGAACAAGGGGACAGACGGCACAGTGGTGGACACAGAACTCCGAACACGGTCAACACCTCGATGTGCAGGCACAAAAAAGACACGCAAGAGTGCAACAGGAGAGTGCTAACTAACCCTCTACCTGTTTAAACCTGAGTCTATAATGCCTACAGCAGTAGAGAGAGAGTGGCTTTCCTGCTGTACAGCACCCCATGCGGCCCCACGTTCAGGGCAGGAAGCTGCATGCAGGGGGCGGCAGCTCAGTAACAGAGCCGGGAGGAGAGACTGCGTTCAGTTTTAGGGCGTGAGACCTAGAGTGCCCTCACATGGTGACAACAGTGCATTTGGTCCCAGATGCTGGATCAAACGCATGGAGGATGGATGGTCCCTAAGCCAGGTCTGACATGCCTGGTTTCAAACAACTGCATAAGGAAAAAGACTAATGAAAGAGCAAATGTTGCTGTCACAAATCACGAGACAAGGACTTACAAGAATATAGTTTTTCTTTTCTTTTTTTAATGTTTGTTTTGGTTTATGTCTTTCTTTACTCGGGCATTTCATTGTTCCCTTTCTGAGGAAGTGACTTGAAACACTACAGAGCCAACATTAGTTTAATGGAAAAAAATACAAAACTGAAAAAAAAAAAGTATTCCGTAAATGATGTACAGTTTTTATAATCATTAACCAATGTATTCTCGCTGCCTTCTAGATAATTTATTTTGCCACACATTACTGCACAGTTGTAAATAACTTATGTACTGTAACATCACTCAGTTAAGAGTAAAAAAATAAATGAATAAAAGTTATCATTGTATGTACAGTTCACTTTCGGGCAGCACTTCCCCCTCACCCCAACATCCCCCACCAAACAAACACACCACCCCCCGGCCAAAAGGTGTACGCATCGTCAGTATTTTCAAGACTTCCATGCAGTGGTCCTTAAGGTTTCTGTCCAAGGCTAGTCAAAGTAAATCTAGATCGTCATCACCACCGTCATTAGGAAACACCATTTCTCCTGATTACTCTGTCAGGGCCAGGACCATAGTTTTCAGATGTAGCAGAGTGATTATGGATTTATTTAAAGAATAGTAGAGGTATATTATTCATCGTTTTATTACACAAGTATATATCTTTAAAAAGTATAAACCAAGAAAATGCCTTTATACAGTTAACGTCTCTGATTTCTTCTAAAGCTGCACAAGTCATAGGTAGGAAAGGACGTGATTTGGAGCCTGCTTCATTTGGGTCTGTCTAAATATAAAAGCACGCCATGAACGGTGTAGTACATATTTGAATTTATTACCCATTGTACAATTAGAATCATGGAAGTTTTTGTTTTGTGTGTCATGCCCTCTGATCATGTTACATTCGTTTTTAAGACACGAAACTGCACATTTCTTTTAATCCCCCTCACATACCCTCTCTTCAGCACTATACGACCGTTCTGAAAGATCTTAGCAATTAGGAGTTTGGACATTTTTCTGCTTTTCTCTTATTTTTTTAAATGTTCGGTTTTACAAAAGCGAGGTTCTAAATATTATCTGCAAATAAAAGAAAATGCATTATTGCATCAGACAAACGTTTTGCATTTGTTCACTCAGTCGCTAAGCAATTTTTAATTTGTCGTTAATTTGTGTTCTCGGCACCCTCCGTTATTAGCAACGTACTGATACGGACTTTTACAGATCATTATGGCAGAACAAAACATGCACACCTCCGTTCCTGGACTATTTGTATACATGGGCTCTCTGACTGTTTTTCCATATTTAACATTCTTGTGAATCTCCCGTCACAGTATTTTTTTTTTTTTTTAATGCACCAATGTCAGTTATTCTCGGATTTTGGTTTATCCTTCACCATCTGATTACATTTTACAGTACATTTAGATGTTTAAATTCATCAATAAACAGGGGACAAGCAAGGTTGTTTTTTTTTTCTTATAGAGGGTTTATTTTTAATTATTAGATATCGTTTTTTGGGGTGAGTGGAAATTGAAATGTGTTTTGATATTTTACCCTTTCTCATTACATGCCTGTACTTCAGTGTGAGGCTGTGTGATGTTTGCTTAACCATCCAGGCTAGTGTTTTTTTTGTTGTTCCATGTGAGGTTGTGAGTCTGTGAAAATCCCACATGACGCAGTTCTGTATGTGTGCATTGAGTCTGGGTGCAACAGGTGTCACTAGTTCCTCCGTTCCTGGACTATTTGTATACATGGGCTCTCTGACTGTTTTTCCATATTTAACATTCTTGTGAATCTCCCGTCACAGTATTTTTTTTTTTTTTTAATGCACCAATGTCAGTTATTCTCGGATTTTGGTTTATCCTTCACCATCTGATTACATTTTACAGTACATTTAGATGTTTAAATTCATCAATAAACAGAGGGGACAAGCAAGGTTTTTTTTTTTTTCTTATAGAGGGTTTATTTTTAATTATTAGATATCGTTTTTTGGGGTGAGTGGAAATTGAAATGTGTTTTGATATTTTACCCTTTCTCATTACATGCCTGTACTTCAGTGTGAGGCTGTGTGATGTTTGCTTAACCATCCAGGCTAGTGTTTTTTTTGTTGTTCCATGTGAGGTTGTGAGTCTGTGAAAATCCCACATGACGCAGTTCTGTATGTGTGCATTGAGTCTGGGTGCAACAGGTGTCACTAGTTCCACAGGTGATTGTTCCTGGTATTTTGTGAGTACTGTGCAGTGCAAAACAAACAGATTCTTCCGAGTGCATAATATGAATAGCTTTCTGTTCAGATTATGTTCACTTTTAGTGCTTTCTTTTGTGTTGTGTGGTTTCTCTAACAAAATTTCAGATAAGCGCTTTTGCTGTTATTAGGTGCATTTTTTCCCCCCATGGAACCGAAATAGTGACTTGTTCATCAAATGGTTTATGTATCATCCCTAAGCCCCTGTATACTTGGTGTTTACACGATGATATGTGAATTTCCACTGTCCTCTGACCTGTTGAAAACGTTTTGGGTTCCCACAACTGATTCAATTTAAAAAGGCTTGAAATTGTTATTTGCATTTGAGCTTTACTATTCAGCACTCTCAAGCCATAAAACCATTGAACTTTTATTTCATAATCATTCTAAATATACTGTATTGGGACTTACTGATCATGAGATTGGACAACAGAAATCTTGCATATGCTTGCCTGTTGACTCACTGACCTCTGTCTGCAACACATTACCTCTACCAAGTACACTGATTATTCCATTTAGTGATGGGATAGATTGTGCTGAGCCACAATTTCAAGCCTTGTTTTAACAATTTTTCCTCAGTATCCACAAATCCAACAGATGATTCTTGAAATGGAACTGAACTCCTCTTACTCATGTTGAACTCTTCATAAATAGTGAGAAATAACCTATTTATTATCTTTCTGACACCTGTGGTATGTTTGAGTTGAAGGTCTCCGCTGTGTAAATTTTCCTCTTGTAATGTGTAAACGAGACGTTGTACATAACTGTAAATAATATTCCAGGACGTTTTGCACCCTCCTCTTTGTACTAGTCTAAACTTGCGTAGAATGTGAGGTTCTAACAGCAACGAGACGTGTCGCGCTCGCTGCCGGTGATGTAACAATGTATCTTTTTTTATTTGTACAATGTAGTTCAATTGTGTACATATTGTTGGAGCAGCTATGGGAGGGAGGGGTTTGTTGATGCTATCGTCAGTGCTGTCGAAGATCCAGTACTTTCACCTTTAGCTGTGTTGATATCCTGCAATTCAAAAGGCGAGAAACTAAAAATACAAAAAATCAACAACAAAAAAAACCTTAACGGAGAGGAAAAATTCAAAATTGTTATTTTCTACACTTGCATGTACAGAGAGCGCGAGAACTGCTGTTGTTCCTCAGAGATTATGTTCATAAATACATTTTTGAAATGACTTTGCTTCTGTGGTTTGTTTTTGTGAGCTGCAATATGACATATCTGCCACAAGAGGGAACCAATGTGATGCAGACTTTCAGTTCTGTCCAGTCACTCTTGTAGGATGAAAATTATTAATGTCATAACTTTTGAGGATTATTTTTGACATGCAAATGGTAACAAATGTCATATTTTACATAGCACTCAACGGAGACCATGGCTATGTTGTCAAGACTAGTGTTCATTTAACACCATACCAGAAGAGGTTGCCACATTTTGAACTATTAAAGAAAACAAGCAGTTAGAAAACGAATAGAGTGTTAGAGCGTCAAGTGTTTTTTAATATAAAACGAATAAAAACCAGTAGTTAAAAAAGAATTAGAATAGAGCGTGCTAGAGTTAGACGGTCAAATAAAGATGGAAGTATATACACTTAAGTATATATACACACTACCGTATCAAGAAGTTGCTATCTGAAAATAAAAATCTGTTTATTTACTTATTTCTAATTATTTTAGTAAATATTACGTCAAAAATAGGAATGTCATTTCAACAATTGTTTAAATACATAAATTATTTACATATCAGCAAATGCATGTGTTATTTACTTATTTTTCAAATTAAAATAATGTGATATATCAGCTTTATATCGGACGTCAGCCATCCTAAGATCCCGGCATTGACCATCAAAAAACATAAACGTTAGACAACTAATGTGAATGTGACCCTCCTGACTGATCATCACACTCACTATATTTATTATGTATATATAAATTCACACACACGCATGTATATATTTCAGAAAAATATGTTTATATATTAAATATATTTATATATAATATAAATTATATGAATATAAATATATACATGTAGATATTTTCTAAATATATACTGTATGTGTGTGTATTTATATATACATAATAAATATACACAGTACACACATACATTATATGTAAACAAAAATGTTTATTTTGGATGTGATTAATTGCGATTAATCGTTTGACAGCACTAATACACATATTCTAAAAAGTGTGTGTTTATATATACATAATAAATATACACAGTACACACATACATTATATGTAAACAAAAACGTTTATTTTGGATGTGATTAATTGCGATTAATCGTTTGACAGCACTAATACACATATTCTAAAAAAACAAACAAACACTAGCTTCTCTATTCTTTTTGTATTCTATCTATCTGTTTTCTTTTTACTATACAATAAACAAAAGCAAAAAAGGCCTCTAACACTAGCTCGCTCTATTCTTTTTCTATTGTTTTTTTATTTATTATATAATTTAAAAAACAACCTTGCTATGTGTACTGTTAAGCTAACTGAGACTTGTTATAGCACTTGCATATTATTGCTCTTTTGTTGATTTTTTTATTGCTTCTATTGTCCTCATTTGTAAGTCGCTTTGGATAAAAGCATCAGCTAAATGACTAAATGTAAATATACACAGTGCACACACATATTATGTAAACAAAAACTTTTATTTTGTATGCGATTAATCGCGATTAATCGATTGACAGCACTAATATGTATGTAACTTAATTAATACTTCAAATGTTATCTATAATGTTTATGGGCTTTTGGACAGGATAATGATATATTGAAATACAGTGGAGATCAAAATTAGAGAACAAGCTACAACTTTCCTTCATTTCAAGGTCACTGCTCAGTCCTATCTGAAGTTATCACAACAGGAGTAAAAGCACAGTTTTTAAGCATATTTGAAAAAGAACACTGATCAAAATTAGAGAACTCTTTCAGATACCTAATTTCCTTAATGATCTAAAGAACCCTATTTAACTGGCAGCCCAACTTTCCGGTTTTCACTGACTTTGCAAGAGGTTGAGCCGTTCTGAAGTGACCGAAAGCCTCTGAAAGCAGGTTGTCCAGATGAAGGCCAATAGCAGCCATAGCAAGAGAAGTTGGTCATTCCGAATCTGTGATTTCTAGAACACTGCATCTTTACTGTGTCACTAACTCATTCAACTCCCCCCAAAAAGGCTGGTCGTCCACGAAAGACAAATACACGAGAGGACAGGATAATGCAGAGAATCTCAGTGGGGAATCGGTTCAGCACTGCAGCTGAAATTGCTTGCCAGTTCAGCTCTGAACAGGGTAAGGAGGGTCTGTCTTGGCATACAGTGTCTCGACGTTTAAGAGAATTTGGACTGAAAGCCTACTCTGCAGTGACCAAGCCTCTCATCAGTAGAAAGAATCAAAAGGCTAGACTCACCTTTGCTATGGAGCATGTTTTGTGGAGAGAGTTCACTTTAGTGATGAGAGCAAATGTAATTTATTTGGGTCCGATGGGAAACATTATGTTTGTCGTCAAACTGGGGAAAGACTGAAGCCAAAGTGTGTAAAGAAATCAGTGAAAGGTGGAGGATAGGGGATGTTTTCTGCAGCAGGACCTGGGTCTCCTATACAGCTACATGGCAGGATGAATGCAAATGTTTATCAGAACCTCCTGCGGCAACATGCAGTTCCTTCCCCGCAAGCATCTCCCAATGGTGACAGAGTTATGGCTAAGAAACCCACTACAGTCGCCGAACTGTGGAAGAGACTGGAAGAGTGGACCAAGATCACACCAGCACCAACAGTGTGAAAGACTAGCGATGTCCTGCAGCCGCAGATGTGCAGAAGTCATTCAAAGCAAGGGCCTCTACACTTCCTACTAATTTTTGACTGCTGTAACCGTCAGAAATATTAGTTGTAATCTTTCTTCATGCTACAATCACTGCTGTTTTGATCACTGTGTTTTCCACAAAGTAAAGGGTTTTTGTTGAAGTGCCTTGGTTATTTTGTAAAACTCTGTTCTACTAGCATGGTATAGCCACAATTAACATTCCTTCAAATTTCGAACAATGAAGATTACATTATTTCTGAAAAATGAAGTATTCATAAAATTGATCTCCACTGTATATTCAGCTTATGAATACCCAGAATTACTTGTTAACCCCGGGTAAGTATGAGCAAAACCCCTTGATTCCTTTTACCCCGGGTTTAGAATGATTCAGGGTTTACTATTTCATGCGTGAAAAGCCCTACAGCGCACTCTAAAAAATGCTGGGTTAAATACAACCCAGTGCTGGGTAAAATAGGGACAAACCCAGCAATTGGTTTGTTTTGACCCAGCGGTTGGGTTAAATGTTTAACCCAACCTTCTGGGTAGTAACCCAACCGTTGGGTCAAAACAACCCAATTGCTGGGTTTGTCCCTATTTTACCCAGCACTGGGTTGTATTTAACCCAGCATTTTTTAGAGTGTATGAAACTCGGTTTATGAATACCCAAGATTAATTAAAGTAGCCTATATGCATTGTGAAAACCCAGGTTTCCCTTTAACCAGGGTTTAGAATGACCCAGGGTTAACTATTAACTGTGAAAAGTGGTGTTGTGTCTGAAATAAGCTGGATTTAACAAAACTCTGATTCGTGATCCGTTTGGACCGATGCTTTTTTCTTGATTCGGTCAAAACGTTTCTAAACAAGTGAGTAAAATGGTGGTGTGTGAAAACCATAGACTGTATAAAAACATGGATGTAGTGTCCGTGATGTCACCCGTAGATTTCCGAAGAGAGTTTCTGAAGCTCAAAAGTGGGCGGAGCGGGCCATCGCCATCTTGGCAGCGCGTCGCCGTGCATCATTCCCAGATAATCGAAAATGGGCAAAGAGGCGGAAGCAGGTTGCTGAAGCCACGCCCACCTAGCTCGACAGTGGTGACAGCAGCGGCAATCCACCTGTCACTCAAGTGGCCACGCCCTTAATTATGCAGAACTTTAAGGCTTAATATAATTTAAACGGATGAGTTATAAAAAAAATTCACCCCCCTCACAGTTGTCATGAAGGGCAAAATTAGCTATATAGACCAAAATCATTTTTTGAACCAGGCTGTAAACGTTTTTTTCTGCTGTAAATTTGGGCATTTTAACATGGGGAGTCTATGGGATTGACTCCCTTTTGCAGCCAGCCTCTAGCGGCCAGTTGATGAATTACAGTTTAAGTCACTTCCTTGTTGGCTTCACGAGAGTGAGCGGGAGGTTGCCGCTTGGTGAAAACTGAGATTAATTCGCTAACTTTATTAATAATCAATAGTAGGCTATTAATATTTTTGATAATGTTGTACACAACATAACATTTGCCGCAAATTATATAATCCACAATTTAGTGATAAACAGCCTTTCCCTACTAAAATGATATTGCGCATGGGTTTTAAAAGAACACTTTTGAGTGATAACTCAAAAGAATCAGTGAATCGGATATATGAACCGCTTCGTTCACATGAATCATCCGAATGAACCGTTTGGCTCAAATGAATCGAACTTCCCTGTGTTACTTGGCTATCCGTGTATGTGGACACCCACGGCCGTCAGGTCATTCCTCAGCACTACAGGGTGCAATGTCTGTGAGAAATAGCTGTTTCCGTCGATAAGGACTCTAGTTATGGAGTTTGAAACTAAAATCTACCCTCAGATTGGTGGATATGGGCGATACAACAGGATCATAACGCTTTTCAGCTGGTTTCCAAACTTTGCAGTATCGTTGAATCTCTTCAGCGATGTTTTCTTCACGCTCATCCCCGAGTCTTACCACTGCAAACCTGATCTGGCGTTACTGCCGCCGTCTTCTCTTCTCGGAAACCTCTCCAGGCAAGCGTACCTCAACCTCACCATCCCGTGGCTGAAGGGGTCTGGGTTCAGTCACTGCGAACTTTACAAGTACCCTGAGAATATAAGCAACTACACAGAGAACGTGCCGAGGGACGTGGTGCAGTGCACTAAAGGATGGGAGTACGGCAAACCGGCGGGACTCCAGAACAATTTAGTGACCGAGGTTAGTATGCTAACACAGAGCAATGCAAGCAGTACACTCAAGTATGACACGACTTGTCTGAAATCGCTTGCTCTGTAGTAGATGTGTTTCAAATAGTCGAGTCGAGTGTGTTATTATACGCTATTTTCGCGTTTTATGCATTAATTGGTATGATTATTAATTTATAGATTTTTAATTTTGGGGAAGTATGCAAAAAGTGACAGGTGGTAGAGCCCTGATAAACCCTTAATACTGTGTGTGTGTGTGTGTGTGTGTGTGTGTGTGTGTG